GTATCAGTTTCTGGTGTACAGCATCATGTCCCAGCCATGCATGTACATACATGGAGCAGATCTTAACCCGTTTCAGAACACGCCTGCCTCAAAGTCTGGCTGGCGGAGCTGTGGACCATCCAATAGGCCATAAACTGCTCTGCACATCATTTCCACACCTGTCAGAACTGCTGACACCCGGTCTACAGCTTCCATTGGTGTCATCAGTCTTTTAACGTTTGGTCCCAACAGTTACTTCGGATCAATTAGCCGGTGCACCGTTATTCCGATTCTGTGACTCCGTCCTGTGCCCTGTGCCCCCATCTGGCTTAGGTGTGGTCTCTCCCCCCGCAGTGCTAAGAGGCGGGCGCTGGGGGAGGCAGGAAGACCGCCTCTCACGCCCCTCTGCCGATCGGGTTTTTAACAAACCAGGTGAATAAGTCATTTCTCTTCCTGAGCCCCTGGTCCCTCCCGGGGTGAGGATGGTGATGATGACAATGACACGCAGGGAATTCTGCACTCATAAAATTATCTCATTTAAATCCTCATAATACTTCAAAGTAGATAAAAGGAGAAACATTAGATTCACTTATGAAAACGGTGTATCCATAAGAATTGCTTTTAGCTGCAAGGTACAGAACACTTAAATAATTTTAAATTGTTTAACCCAACAAATTTAATTTTTTTAAACTGCAGTTTATTTTCTTCACATTAACAAGCCATGTTGCAGTAGAGGGTGGGAAGCACTGGCCGAGCAGCTGGACAGTCGCTGTCAAGAGCCCAGTCTGTCTGCCTAGTTTACCGTCCTTAGTGCACTGCCTTTCATCTTCGTGCATGGTGCCTTGTGATCACAAAACGACTGCTGTGGCCCCAGGCATCACATTCACGTTGAAGGGAGAGCATGGATGAGGCCAGCTGCATCTGTCCTTTTATCAGGAAAGCGAAGCGGGGACTTACCTAGATTTCTTGCTGGATAGAAACCATCACGTGGCACTTCTAGCTAAAAGGAAGGTGGGAAGATGCGTATTGGTCCTTGGAGTGAGAGGCAAGGAGGGCTGGCAGTGGTGGCTTTATTAGCCAGCCAGCAGGGTCGGCTTCGGAGGCAGTTAATAACCAGGAGCTCCATGGAGACAGCAGTTCTGTTTGCTTTATCTTGACACTAAGCTCCTGAATCACACAGAGGCCCCACTAAATACTCGAATTTTAAAAATAGTAGCTGTTCCTTGAAACACCATGAAAAACAAGTCCTTACCCTAAACCCTTTGGACTCCGGCTCAGCTCATCACACGTCCTACGGACCTGCCCCATCAGAGCCCTCCTCCTGCTCCCCGTGGTCAGCGGGCCGACCGTGCAGGCTTGGGCACTGCGTCCATCGGGTTTTCAGGAGTGCCTGCTTTTTAGGCAATCGAGGGAGTAGTGGGGCCCCATACCAAGGGTCTCAAGGCTGACCGGCCACCTTGGGGAGGTAACTAGTTAAGAACAGCCCCCCCCCCCCAGTTTGACTACTCTGGGATGGGCTTCTGGAGCGTGGCTCCGCCCTCACCTCTTGGTGTCTAATATAAGACAGGGTGTGGGGCTGTCTCCCCCGCCTTCCTCTCCGAGCCTCGGTCGCCTCCTTCCCTGCTGAAGAGAGGTTTCACTCTTTGAACCTGGAGGAAGTCCGTGAAGTGAAGTTCACGTTTCTGATTTTGTTTTTCTTCCTCCTCCAGTGACTGGCACCTCTTCCCTCCTCTGTGGGGTCAGCCTGAGGGGCACACTGTTCCTTCCCATTTCCTCACGGAGGCACTGTGATACCACAGGGCTACCATAAGATTAGTGTGGTAGCTCTCTTGCCAGACTTCCAGACTGGTTTTCTGAAACAAAAAATACATAAATTACTTACAAAATGACTTCCGCCCTCCAGATCCAAGGGGAGCATAACCACAACCCCCCCCATCCCCCCCCCCCAGACCTCGTCCTATTTCCGGGGACAAAGCCTCCGCCTCCGAGCGCTGTGACGTTTGCGAGGAGAGAGCAGTGTCTCTGAAAAATCGTGGATGACACTGCGTCTTGAAACTCACCCATGTAACTAGTCGGGGCAGACTTGGGGCTGGGCCCTGAGAGCTGGCACCAAACTTCCTGCGGGAAGCCGCGACAGCCCGAGCAGCAGGAGGGAGCAGAGGCTGTGGCTGCGCTCTGTCCGCGCAGAGGGAGGC